TAAGTATTTAACAATTTATTAGATACATAATGAAGTAAATTATAAATGACATTATTGTAATATATTGTAATGGATAAGTGGTCAATTATGCAAACTATTACTTTAAACAGATTATTATGGTAACAGACTATGTATATAAAACAGTAAAAGGATATGAGTGTTCAGAAATTGTATCAGTTATAGTATGATTAGAGTAATTATTATGGAAACAGATGTATAATAATCTTATTTTTGGTTAATAAAATCAACCAGAGACTATCAACGATTTTGTTATATCTGTCTTTACGTTGCTCAAGGGGTGGTTTCCTTATTGTGAGAAAATAGTTGTCTGAAGAGGGATGTGGTCTTCCATCTGGAATGCATTGCAATAAAAGATATTTTTAGAGGTTGATTAAGTGGTCTTGGTTTTTTTAAAGACTGATATAACAAAAGAGATTTGACAAAATTATTAATAGTCTTTGGTTGGTTTTATTAACCAAACCAACCAAATTATTACAGTCGAAATATAAACAGTCAAATTAAGTATAATTCGACTGTTTGTGACTACAGGTATACCTCAACTTACGTCATTTCAAGTTACATCGTTCCCGATTATACGTCGTTTGTCAAAAAAGTATATGGAAAAATAAAAATCAAGTTTAAGTCATTTTATTCGACTTTACGTCTGTTTGCCACAAATATTGAAGTTGTAATATCACTAGAAAAGTGTTTAAAGCACATAAAATCATATTAAAATATATAAAAGTATGTACTGTATTTACAGTACATGCATTCGTAAATTTAGATTATTTTTTTTTGTACTATATTAAAAACTAAAATTTATTTGTTTGTAAGCTTAAAATAGATTTTTATTAACCATATATTATTTAAAATGCTTTCCTAGTGATAAGTAGATTCGGAGACAGGTAAATTCGACTTACGTCGTTTTTCGACTTACGTCGTTTTCCTGGAACCAATTACCGACGTAAGGCGAGGTATACCTGTANTGGAACCAATTACCAACGTAAGGCGAGGTATACCTGTATTTGTGATAATCACCACAAATAATTTTTCTTTATAGCCAAATGATTGCTGGATTAGATCAGACTGTATTACTGCTACTATTAAATAATAAGTAATTTGGCCTATAAGTAGGTGTTAGACACCATATCTTATTAAATTTAATAACTATAATTAAATTTTAATTATTATTATAATAATATTATATATATATAATATTATTAATTAATTTAGAAAGTTCTGGTAGAGAATCGGTCTCGAGCAGGACTCAAACCTATAGCTGCCATTTACTGTGTGGATGTGTTGCCAGTTATGCTATCTGGTCAATGTCCAACCTTTTCTTCCAGAACTATTAATTTACAAGTAACCATGCTGTATGTAGTATAACTGGCAATGCATCCACATGGTAAGTGACACTTGCAGGTTTGAGTTCTGCTTTGGGCCAATTCTTTTCTTCCAGAACCTTCTAAATTAATTAATAAATATTAATTTAATCATAATTAATAAATTTAATAAGATATGGTGTCTAATGCCTACCTCTATGCCAAATTACTTAGTACTTAATAGTAGTAGTAATATAGCCTGATCTAATCCAGCAATAATTTGGCTTTGACATATAACTTTCAGACGTATGGATGCTTATATTAATAATTTTTATTTTACTTATGAGTTGAAAAGTTTTAAAATTCATACAGACAGCACGTCATTAAAAATAAAATATAACAAAATAACAACAAAGACATCATTTTTCATCTTTTAGCATAAAATAGAGTACAATTATAGGTTATATAAATTAAATTTAAAGGCTATTTTCTGATGTTAATGTATGCAAATTAGTACAGTCCCAATTATGATTGGAGTCAGGCCTGTGCATACAATTTTTGAAAAAAAAAAATATTTTTTCATAACTTTTTTTTTTAGTTTTTAGGTCCTTATATATAAATATTCCAAAAAGAAATAAAGATGGATAGGAAAGTGTGCAGATTGAGAGAACTAACCAATCAGACCTAACTTGTTATACTGGGTTATCCAAAGCCACTAAGGAAAAGAAGGCAACAGTGGGCAATCCATTGATAATAGTTTCCAGCAATTTGGAAAATAATTTTTTAGATAGAAATGCTTCAACACCCTACAGGAGTATAACAGTATAGGCCTTTGGGAATTCTTAATGGTGAGCTGGTCTTCATTTGAATAGGAACAGATGTGGAGGAAACCCAGAAAAACTCCACTTAGCCGGGCAAAGGCATGCTGAAAAAGCCAACCAGAAGGGAGAATCTTCTGGACTGGGGATAATTATTAATAAGAACTAGAGCAGAACAAATGAAGGGGGTGCTGGAGACAATTACCAAAGAAATGGTAGAAATATATAGGAATAGTAGGCTGACAATTTATGTCAGTGGAAGAAAAGGTATGATTCACTTCAAAGTTTCCAACAGATGTATAGTTCTATGAAGTGGGTTCATGGCTGTTGTATCCTGGGAAGCAGTAAAATTGTTATTAAACTATTAGATTAGCTGAGGACTAAGAAAGGGAGCTTTACAGTGCTTGTCAAGAAGGAAAGGGATACCAATCTTTTGAATGGATAGACTAAAGCAAACAGTGGATATGTGCAGTGGTCCACTAATGCCACATCCTGTTGGATGCCCATGGTTGGTTTAAGGCCATGAGAGGCAGTATATAGGGTAACACAATATACTAGACTAGGCAGGAACTGAATGGATACAAAATAAATATAAATTATATACAATGTACAGTTTAATTTTTTTAATTCTTCTCAAATGGGAGAGTGGGATCAAGCTCCAAAGCTTTCTTTGTTTGAACAGCCTTGATTGAAATCATTAAAGTTTTTCTGAACTATAAATTCTAAATATTCCTAAGGATGAATTTATTGCAAATGAAATACAAATTTTTTTAAATATAGTTTTTATGTTTTCTCTTTATTTTAGCACTAATGGATCACAATTAACATCATTGTAATGCTGGTCTGTATGTTCCTCTGTATTTTTACAAAATGTTTATTTCAAACAAACTATAAACACTATACAGACATATATGTATGAATAATAATCATCATACAGAAAAAGGATAAAGAATCTCACATGCTGATCAAGAATCTGTCAGCCAACCACTAGACAAAAAAGGTCTTAACCCAAACCATTTGGCATTATACATCAGGGAAACAATGTCCCCTGCCAAATTTTTTGGTTAGGATTTACAAGTTTAGCCTTGGAATTTACTGCAAAAGCATGTTAATTGATTTGCTAACTTTTCTGTGAACCATCAACCACAAAAGTATTTGTATGGATTGTATTAACTTTTAGTCAAAATTATAAAATATATGTATTATTTCAATATTGTTTACTATGGATTACTACTGCTATATTAAAATATATTACTATGTTATATATTTAAAACCTCTAAAACTCAAATATGGACTAAAAAATAGCTAGTTTGACTTATGAACAGTTCTACTACATATGGATGTATATGAAAAACATTTTTATTCAATTACAAAGTACAAAGCAGTGGAATAAGGGATGTAATTTTGTGATATATTTAAACCCATCTTATTTTATTTAAATTATTATTAGAACAATATATGAGGCTGTAATAATGATTTAAATAAATATCATAAATTTGCTATTTGTATATAACTGTCTATGCTACTCTAAATTTATTCAAAAAATCAAATTTCACATGATACAATACATCAAATTTCAATTTTTCCACTAGGTCTAGTGGATTTTTACTAAACTGACAACTTGCTCATGAACAAGGGCGCATTGCTTGATAAAGTGACTAATTGATACAGCCGAATAATCAAATCACTGACATTGCCCATTTCATTTGATACAGACTGTCATTAGCTACTTATGCAGCTGTATTAAAACCACTTTACTAGGCAATGTGTCAAAAAGATTCATGGAACTTAATAGGTTGGTCAGAATCTGCTGAGTTTGACAGAAGGAGAAACAATGTTGAGACAAAATTTTGTTCCACTTTAGGAGTAGAAAATACATTATATAGGGGGGTGTTTTCCAGAACAACAATTTAGTTTGATTTGAGGAAGAGATGATTTGAGATTAGAGGTTTTACTGTATATAAATATTACTAGTATTGATTATATTTTATTATAGTAGTAGTAAAACTTTTAAAATTTTTTTCCATGTTGTTTATAAACTTGAATTTAATATACAGTTTGGCCTAAAAGTAAATATGCTATTATCATGAATATTTTAATAATTAGAGTTAACAAAGTAAAAATAAATAAATTGAAAACTTGTAGAGATAAGGATCAGCTTGGATCAAGAATCAAACATACAATCTTGTTTGCATACATATACTGTAATTTTGAAAACATTGTAAGATCATCTGTTTATGCACCCTCTTTTTGCCTTAGCATAGTTTAACAATTAATGTACAGTACAAAGATTGGAAGTTTATATTCCACAAGGCTCAATTTTTTCCTTGTAGACATTTTTAAGAAATTAATTAATTAAATGAACTCAAATTATTAAAATATTTTTAAAATTATGATACTGATTTATCTTAGGCCAATTTGCATACTAAAATAATTAAATTAAATCTTAAAAGTAATCAAAATAATCCAGAAAACAGCCTGATAGTATTTTGTGTATTAACTTAATTATTAATATTGATTTCTATATATTATATAACATTTTGCAGAATAATATGTATGTATATCCATTTATTTAACTTAAAACATTAATGTCAAACATTTGTTATATTGATAAATGATAAATATTTTTCATTTTATTTGGATAATACAATATAATTATTATTATTATTCTAAAATAGTAAAAACTTAATTTTTAAAACTGAAATGTTTTTCTTTCTTATAGTTTGAACAATTTGAAAGTACAATAGGTTTTAAATTAGCTAATCATAGAGCAGCTAAAAAGCTTTGGAAAGTATGTGTAGAACATCATACATTTTTTAGGTAAGTTGGTTATAAAGCATAGTTTAATTAAATATTTAAGTCAGATAAGGAAACAGATAATGGAAAACATTGATAGAAACAGATAATGTCATTTTTCTGTGGAATTGATAGACTCTGTAACAGAATTTGAAGCTAAATATTTAACTCTTTTGTTTCTGTAATGTAGAATACTTTAACTTTCTCTTTGGCTGAAATTTTTCAGTCAAAAAGAAGCTAAAGAATTCTACATTACAGAAATGTTTACATTACTGAAATTCTTCAGCCAAAGAGAATCCAGAATATGAAGAGTGCATATATAACATGGTTTCTTATTCAGAACAAACAGTTATATAGCTTAAAAAATTGAATATGTTCAGTATCAGAAAGAAGCAAAGTATAGAAATGGAATACAAATGAAATAGAAACATAACACTATTATTAAGTAGATTCTAACTTACTATAAAAAGTATAAGCTTGAAATTCAGGAATTAAAGCATCAAACAGTTTGAAAACACACATAAATATACCCATAACCAGTAAAAGGAATAAAAATATTTACTGATACAAATATTTTCATTCATTTATAATGAATGTCATCAGGTATGTCATGAATACCGAACAGAACAACATTAAGCAATAAAACACATTTAAATATCTGTTTGGTATTAATTATGACATACCTGATGATCATTAGAAATGGATGAAAATGTTTTGTGGTGATTTCTAGTAACCGTGAACGAATCAAAAGGTGAGATAAGATTAACAAGAACATTTATTAGCTTACATCCGACTTGGATCTTACACAAAAGACATCTGCTGTCATGAACAATTGACAAAAAAAATATACATTTATCAGACAATAGACAAAGACTCGGTTTGTAAACAATTTACCTTTTGTGTATACGACTGACAGTCGATCCAGAGCGGTCTTTCAATGACTGGACATAAAAAATGAACAGATGATGCTTAACTTAAGCGCGATTTACAAAACGAATATGATTAATCTTAACATGTTTTTATCAATAAATATTTTTATTCCTTTTACAGGATTTTGTATATTTATGTGTTTTCATTTCATATGATGAATTTTTGAAGAAGTAAATGTGTTAAACAGTTTAATTTTGGAATAACTTGGAGTCCCAGGAAGCCTTTTTCTCCAATCCTTTTTACTNTAAAAATTCAAATAAAACAATGCACAATAATGGCAGAATTGACGCTTTATATGGAAAATATACGATAAAATTACTATATTCCAATTTTCAGTTAGTCATCATAACACACTGCTTTTCACAGAGAGGCACTTCCAAATACATTATATTCTGTAAACCAAGTTCTTTTGGAGCTTTGGAGCCTAAACATTATTTTTGGAAATAACAGTGTTTGAGAGAAAAAGATGGGGTTAATGTAATGAATTTGATATTTTATGGGTTATAAAATTCCTGAGGATAGAGCACTTGCTATGAATGCACTTGGTTTATAGGATATGCTGCATTTGGAAGTGTCTCCTGAATAAAGCAGTGTGTTGTGATAAAAAATAAATATATTAATATACTTCTCTAAAATAATACAGGAAAACAACTGCATACATAAACTGATAGATCTATTAATCTAATCTAATATATTGCATGACCAAATTGATTAAGAACTGACTAGTACTTTTATTCAATAGTTGACAGATTTCCAAAGATCTGTCATCTAATAGTTGCCATTTTCCACTATAAGATAGATAGATTTGTGATCCTCTTATAATAATCTACAAAACAGAGGTAAATGTACATTTGATATGCACAGATCATATGTATGAAAATATGAACCATATTTATGTTGTATCCTTTAAATGTCATGTTAGTGTACTTGTGAGGTGTCACTGGTTACTGTAATTTACTGTAATAGCCAGTTAAAACTGGTCAAATTATTTTATTTTCTCACATACAGAAAGACAGGACAAATTCATTTCAGATTGAGATGTATTTTACTATACTTCTTCAGTATTTTCCTATACATTAAAAATACCATTTAGTATAACTAGATGCTAATACCCAGTAAAAGTGGATATATCTTAAACAAAACAAACATTCTCTTCTCTTTTAAATGGGCATCTTCATGTCAGAAGAAACTTAAATAGAATTGAATGTGTATTCTAAAAATAGAACACAACAGAAGATGCCCATTTAAAATGGAAGAAAATGGTTTTGTTTAAAATACAGTTGAGTCCTCATAAGTCGACTGCCCTCCTGAAAAAAATGAGTTCATACACAGCTTAACATCACAGCAGAATCTGATTTTGCATGTTCTTGCTATTCATTCATGCGTTATTTGCAGCAAGTGTTTCACATTTCTGTTAGAAATGAGTATTCAAAGCCTAACAATGCTTACGCTGAAGGAAAAATACAAACTTGTATCTGAATTTGAATGTAATAAAACATCGCAAGCTTTCTTTCTGTTTGTTTCACTTTAAAATTTTTATGTTTTTATTCTCTTAACCGTCTACTGTATTTCTGTTCTGGTATATAAAAGCTAAACATATTTTATTTTTGTTACATCAATTCCAAATTATATGTGAATAAAATTTGCATTTTAGTTAGGCTTTTAAGTATTTTCTTCAGAATATGAAAATATCTCATTGTAAATATGCAGAAATAATGTAATTTATTGCTTATTGGAATATTACTAGTCTGTAATCTAGTGCTTATTCATCATTTATAAATTTTATTTTTTTAGAGGTCAAACTCCAGCAGAAGCTGAGCTTCACTATTTAGAAAATGCTAAAAAATTAGCAATGTATGGGGTTGATTTACATCAAGCAAAAGATTCTGAAGGTGTAGATATTATGCTTGGAGTTTGTGCTTCTGGTTTACTTGTGTATAGGGATAGATTAAGAATTAACCGGTTTGCTTGGCCAAAAATTTTGAAGATATCTTACAAACGAAATAATTTTTACATCAAAATTCGCCCTGGAGAGGTGAGTAGTAGTTAAAGTAATTTATTGAGTAAATAAATTTAAAATTTGAACAAAGTAAATTTATGTAGAAATAAAATAGATAAATGATGGTTTGATAAACTTTAAGTCTATATTTTTTTCTTTATTTTAATCTAAAGTTCTTTCATATTAATGAATAGATTAATTTTTCCATTAAAAATGTGTTTAGCCTTCTAAGCATGTATTTTGCATTCATGCTAAATCTGTTTTCACAAAATTATTTAGGTAGATTTAAATTAATGTATTGACTGAAAAATATTTTCTTGTTACATAAATATCAGTTACAATTTAATATATTTGATTTTTATATTTATATATACACTTAAATATATTTAATTTTGAAAATGGATATATAATAAATTAAGCTATTCAATTTTAATAAGAAATGTTATTGATCTTTCCTTGAATCAGCTTCAGTTAACAAAATATTTAGAATGGAATATTAAAAAAAAAATATAGAAATATATACATCTAAGTTATATATTTTTATTTATAATGCTTAAAGCAGTATAATTTTGCTTATAATTTATCTTGAATCTTATCTAATCTGATAATTTATTATAAATATATAAATTTTATATATTAAAGCCAAATGATTGCTGAAGTATATCAAGCTATATTTATATAAGTATAGTCTGATATAATTTGGCAATTGTTTGAATTTAATATATAACTAATGGGTTTGGATGTTTAAATTTTCTGTAGTTTAATAATTTTATATATATTTTTTTTATATACATCTTTTAAAACTATAGCATCTTTGGCTATTAAACAATTCTGATAAAGCACTTATAATAGTATTTCTTTGATTTAAGGTTTCTTGGCTTTAAATTTTTGATTTTTTAAAATAAAATAATAAATTATTTATAACAATTGATTTATGTATTATGCACTATTCAATGCTTGTTATTAATTTTAACTTAATCATTTTATTTCTCATCTAAATATATTTTTATCTATAAAAGATATGAATATTAATTTAACAAATTAAGTATTTAACAATTTATTAGATACATAATGAAGTAAATTATAAATGACATTATTGTAATATATTGTAATGGATAAGTGGTCAATTATGCAAACTATTACTTTAAACAGATTATTATGGTAACAGACTATGTATATAAAACAGTAAAAGGATATGAGTGTTCAGAAATTGTATCAGTTATAGTATGATTAGAGTAATTATTATGGAAACAGATGTATAATAATCTTATTTTTGGTTAATAAAATCAACCAGAGACTATCAACGATTTTGTTATATCTGTCTTTACGTTGCTCAAGGGGTGGTTTCCTTATTGTGAGAAAATAGTTGTCTGAAGAGGGATGTGGTCTTCCATCTGGAATGCATTGCAATAAAAGATATTTTTAGAGGTTGATTAAGTGGTCTTGGTTTTTTTAAAGACTGATATAACAAAAGAGATTTGACAAAATTATTAATAGTCTTTGGTTGGTTTTATTAACCAAACCAACCAAATTATTACAGTCGAAATATAAACAGTCAAATTAAGTATAATTCGACTGTTTGTGACTACAGGTATACCTCAACTTACGTCATTTCAAGTTACATCGTTCCCGATTATACGTCGTTTGTCAAAAAAGTATATGGAAAAATAAAAATCAAGTTTAAGTCATTTTATTCGACTTTACGTCTGTTTGCCACAAATATTGAAGTTGTAATATCACTAGAAAAGTGTTTAAAGCACATAAAATCATATTAAAATATATAAAAGTATGTACTGTATTTACAGTACATGCATTCGTAAATTTAGATTATTTTTTTTTGTACTATATTAAAAACTAAAATTTATTTGTTTGTAAGCTTAAAATAGATTTTTATTAACCATATATTATTTAAAATGCTTTCCTAGTGATAAGTAGATTCGGAGACAGGTAAATTCGACTTACGTCGTTTTTCNTCATAAATTTGCTATTTGTATATAACTGTCTATGCTACTCTAAATTTATTCAAAAAATCAAATTTCACATGATACAATACATCAAATTTCAATTTTTCCACTAGGTCTAGTGGATTTTTACTAAACTGACAACTTGCTCATGAACAAGGGCGCATTGCTTGATAAAGTGACTAATTGATACAGCCGAATAATCAAATCACTGACATTGCCCATTTCATTTGATACAGACTGTCATTAGCTACTTATGCAGCTGTATTAAAACCACTTTACTAGGCAATGTGTCAAAAAGATTCATGGAACTTAATAGGTTGGTCAGAATCTGCTGAGTTTGACAGAAGGAGAAACAATGTTGAGACAAAATTTTGTTCCACTTTAGGAGTAGAAAATACATTATATAGGGGGGTGTTTTCCAGAACAACAATTTAGTTTGATTTGAGGAAGAGATGATTTGAGATTAGAGGTTTTACTGTATATAAATATTACTAGTATTGATTATATTTTATTATAGTAGTAGTAAAACTTTTAAAATTTTTTTCCATGTTGTTTATAAACTTGAATTTAATATACAGTTTGGCCTAAAAGTAAATATGCTATTATCATGAATATTTTAATAATTAGAGTTAACAAAGTAAAAATAAATAAATTGAAAACTTGTAGAGATAAGGATCAGCTTGGATCAAGAATCAAACATACAATCTTGTTTGCATACATATACTGTAATTTTGAAAACATTGTAAGATCATCTGTTTATGCACCCTCTTTTTGCCTTAGCATAGTTTAACAATTAATGTACAGTACAAAGATTGGAAGTTTATATTCCACAAGGCTCAATTTTTTCCTTGTAGACATTTTTAAGAAATTAATTAATTAAATGAACTCAAATTATTAAAATATTTTTAAAATTATGATACTGATTTATCTTAGGCCAATTTGCATACTAAAATAATTAAATTAAATCTTAAAAGTAATCAAAATAATCCAGAAAACAGCCTGATAGTATTTTGTGTATTAACTTAATTATTAATATTGATTTCTATATATTATATAACATTTTGCAGAATAATATGTATGTATATCCATTTATTTAACTTAAAACATTAATGTCAAACATTTGTTATATTGATAAATGATAAATATTTTTCATTTTATTTGGATAATACAATATAATTATTATTATTATTCTAAAATAGTAAAAACTTAATTTTTAAAACTGAAATGTTTTTCTTTCTTATAGTTTGAACAATTTGAAAGTACAATAGGTTTTAAATTAGCTAATCATAGAGCAGCTAAAAAGCTTTGGAAAGTATGTGTAGAACATCATACATTTTTTAGGTAAGTTGGTTATAAAGCATAGTTTAATTAAATATTTAAGTCAGATAAGGAAACAGATAATGGAAAACATTGATAGAAACAGATAATGTCATTTTTCTGTGGAATTGATAGACTCTGTAACAGAATTTGAAGCTAAATATTTAACTCTTTTGTTTCTGTAATGTAGAATACTTTAACTTTCTCTTTGGCTGAAATTTTTCAGTCAAAAAGAAGCTAAAGAATTCTACATTACAGAAATGTTTACATTACTGAAATTCTTCAGCCAAAGAGAATCCAGAATATGAAGAGTGCATATATAACATGGTTTCTTATTCAGAACAAACAGTTATATAGCTTAAAAAATTGAATATGTTCAGTATCAGAAAGAAGCAAAGTATAGAAATGGAATACAAATGAAATAGAAACATAACACTATTATTAAGTAGATTCTAACTTACTATAAAAAGTATAAGCTTGAAATTCAGGAATTAAAGCATCAAACAGTTTGAAAACACACATAAATATACCCATAACCAGTAAAAGGAATAAAAATATTTACTGATACAAATATTTTCATTCATTTATAATGAATGTCATCAGGTATGTCATGAATACCGAACAGAACAACATTAAGCAATAAAACACATTTAAATATCTGTTTGGTATTAATTATGACATACCTGATGATCATTAGAAATGGATGAAAATGTTTTGTGGTGATTTCTAGTAACCGTGAACGAATCAAAAGGTGAGATAAGATTAACAAGAACATTTATTAGCTTACATCCGACTTGGATCTTACACAAAAGACATCTGCTGTCATGAACAATTGACAAAAAAAATATACATTTATCAGACAATAGACAAAGACTCGGTTTGTAAACAATTTACCTTTTGTGTATACGACTGACAGTCGATCCAGAGCGGTCTTTCAATGACTGGACATAAAAAATGAACAGATGATGCTTAACTTAAGCGCGGTTTACAAAACGAATATGATTAATCTTAACATGTTTTTATCAATAAATATTTTTATTCCTTTTACAGGATTTTGTATATTTATGTGTTTTCATTTCATATGATGAATTTTTGAAGAAGTAAATGTGTTAAACGGTTTAATTTTGGAATAACTTGGAGTCCCAGGAAGCCTTTTTCTCCAATCCTTTTTACTCAATCATAAGTAAAGGCAAAAAGTTAAGTTGCTATAAAGATAAACATTAACAGATGCCATTATCATTATTTATAAACTGCCAATTTCCAATAAAATTTCCATACATGAGTATTATCACTACAAAATAGAAACAATTTTTGACTTGTTAATTCTAAAGCTGGAACTATCTTCTAAATGCTAAAATTTACACCTTCCTATCACTTTTCAGTAATTCACTGATTAAAATGAACATTTTCAGGTACTTTCAGAGGCCTGTGTCAGGTTAATTAAGTATATTTCTATATCAAACGTCTACAACAGATTTGAAGTTTGGAATAATGCCGTTTTTTTCTTTGACGTAATTGTCTTTGAATTAAAATATACTATATTTATGTAGAGATTAATATAGTTAACAAATTAAACAAATAATTACAAATAAAAATATGAAAATATTTCTAATAAATGATATAAGTGAAAAACTAAAAAATTAAATTATTTGGCAAGATGTAAATTGCTATTACTGCCTGTAAAAATACATACAGTAATTATTGGTTGCCACTATTTTTTAAGGGGTTATGCAATATAGATTGGTATGCCTTGGATATGGATATATATTCTTTACTGTTAATGCAACTTCCTTTAAGTATTGCAGCAAATATTTCAAATGCCTCCATGGTTCTTAGTTTATGGTTATTAAATGTGTGTTTGTTTAAAAGTTTTTGTCCATCATGAAGACACCCCTTGCTCACTTGCATATTGTGCTAGAGCTGTACTGTATTTGTTTTTACTAATATAGTATTGGTGCTTGTTGAGTCTGCATCAAGGATCTGTTAAGCCTATATATAGATTTGATAGAAGTAGCAAAACATATATAGGCTCAAGGAGCCAGCAAGTGGAGGCTGTGGTTCAAGCCTGTCCCAGGTCAGTTCTTTTATCTAGATGGTTCTAAATTATTTAATAAATTATTAAAATTATAATTATTAATTTAGTTAAGAGATTGTGCCTAATGTCTACCTCTAGTAGCAAATTACTTTGTATTAATTATTAAAATTAGCAGAGTTATAGTCTGATTATTTAGGCAATTGTTAGGTGATATACATATCAGGTTTCAGAATGTTTGTTGTACTTATATTAATCTTTATGTAAATATAGTGTGACCGTAGGGTTGGTGTCTCTTTGACACCGTGTCAGGATGTGACACCACTGAGTCTCGCAGGACTCGGAAATTGCAACTTTACATCACGCGAGCGGTAGCAGTAGACAGTTGGATTCAGAGTAGAGGTGAGGAGAGAGAAACAAGGAAGTGATTCACTCAGATTCCATATTAATAAACCATAACAAATTTATTTTATCGGGCAGGAGTACACGATATACGATATTATCCCTATTTTCTTACATTTAACTGTTGCGAGAGAGAGAGAGAGTTTACAAACGACTCGTGTGTGGATAAATACCTTATAAAGAAGTTGAGGATGGATGACTCAAACACAGGATTCTTCGGGTGTTCGGTGGATTCTTCGGATGATTGAAGCGTCTTTCTTTCGGGTAAGAGGTCTTTGGAAGGAGGTATCCGACAAGTTTAGAATAAGTCAAGAACTTGGGCATGATAGGTATCTGTATGTTGATATCGATGGAGACATGGTATTTTAACACGCTTTTGAGGCGACTTTTTGTGGACGGACTTTGAAGGACGACTGACTTGATTTTTTCATCACTCTCCCTGGTTATTGGGTATTTTCCTTCTGGGGTTTTTCCATGAGGTCAGGAGTTTGTTGCCAATGGCCTGGCGTCCAATACTGGAAATTTATTGAAAGTTCCAGGTGACACATTAATGACTAGATGGATCATCCTCAACAAGGAAGCAAGTCCGTGGGAAACAATTTTTATGATAGCTCTTGATAAAAAAATTGAAGTCAAATGATGAAATGGTAAAATGACCAAAGGTCAAGCTAATATTTTCATCCCTTCGTCCGTCACAATAGTATACTTTAACTCAAAGACAATTACATCAAAGAAAAATGGCATTATTCCAAACTTTGAACCTGCTATAGACATTTGATATAGAAATCTGCGTAACCTGATGCAGGCCACTGAAAGTAGCTGAAAACATTTATTTTTAATCAGTGAGTTGCTAGAAAGTGAGGAAGGTGTGAATTTTAGCATTTAGAAGATAGTTCCAGCTTTAGAATTAACAAGTTGAAATATGGCACTGCCAGTCAATGTTTACAGAAAGAACATCTTAAACAATTTTTGTTTTTAGTTTTCTGTTTTTGTTGATATTTTACATTATTTGTTTCTGTAGAGTATGAAGATGACTAATAAACCAAAAACATTTGTATCTAGATTTTGTTCATTATTTCGATTAAACAGTTCATTTGTATTTATATTTATTTTAAAATGTTTGTTTGTTATGTTCTGTTTTTATCAATAAATATTTTTATTCCTTTTACAGGATTTTGTATATTTATGTGTTTTCATTTCATATGATGAATTTTTGAAGAAGTAAATGTGTTAAACGGTTTAATTTTGGAATAACTTGGAGTCCCAGGAAGCCTTTTTCTCCAATCCTTTTTACTCAATCATAAGTAAAGGCAAAAAGTTAAGTTGCTATAAAGATAAACATTAACAGATGCCATTATCATTATTTATAAACTGCCAATTTCCAATAAAATTTCCATACATGAGTATTATCACTACAAAATAGAAACAATTTTTGACTTGTTAATTCTAAAGCTGGAACTATCTTCTAAATGCTAAAATTTACACCTTCCTATCACTTTTCAGTAATTCACTGATTAAAATGAACATTTTCAGGTACTTTCAGAGGCCTGTGTCAGGTTAATTAAGCATATTTCTATATCAAACGTCTACAACAGATTTGAAGTTTGGAATAATGCCGTTTTTTTCTTTGACGTAATTGTCTTTGAATTAAAATATACTATATTTATGTAGAGATTAATATAGTTAACAAATTAAACAAATAATTACAAATAAAAATATGAAAATATTTCTAATAAATGATATAAGTAAAAAACTAAAAAATTAAATTATTTGGCAAGATGTAAATTGCTATTACTGCCTGTAAAAATACATACAGTAATTATTGGTTGCCACTATTTTTTAAGGGGTTATGCAATATAGATTGGTATGCCTTGGATATGGATATATATTCTTTACTGTTAATGCAACTTCCTTTAAGTATTGCAGCAAATATTTCAAATGCCTCCATGGTTCTTAGTTTATGGTTATTAAATGTGTGTTTGTTTAAAAGTTTTTGTCCATCATGAAGACACCCCTTGCTCTTAGGATTTACAAGTTTAGCCTTGGAATTTACTGAATGATGATAAATTTTAAAATTATTTATAGTCAGTTAGAAAACATAATTTAAATGATTAATTTTCCATATTTATTTATTTAGATTAATGTCACCAGAGCCTACACCAAAGCCTAGACTATTCTTTCCTCGTTTTGGATCAAAATTCAGATACTCAGGTCGAACACAATATCAAACAAGATTGGCTAGTTCATTAATCGATCGACCTCCTCCACATTTTGAAAGGACATTAAGTAACAAGCGTTTCACATCTCGTAGCATGGATGGTGGTATGTTAAGAATGTCATCAGTAGTTTCTACATTGTAATTTATATTTAATTTAGGGAAACAATTAATATAAAATGTTAATTTACTTAATATATTCTATGGGTTTAATTATCATGTAGGAAATGAAAATTTATAGTTATTTGTAATTGTAATAATGTGATTGTGGGTGTAATTATTTTAGAGGCATGTCATTAAATAAAATGTTACTCCTTAAATTAATATGTAAATTGACCTGCATTTGCAAATATAGTACAATATGATCAATTTTTGTTATGCTTCCAATTAAACCTATCTGTTCTCTTTCCAGTTGGTAGTTACAGAAATGCAGAAATAATTGTGTATTTATTATCATTATCTTCAAATGTTTATAGATTTGCTTTAATTCCATTTAAATCTTAAAAAATAATCAAATAATTGTGCAGATTAGAAATGTAAATATTTAAAATTTTCCACTACTATATTTTACATGTATGATAATACTTTGCTATCAATATTTAATAATATAATAGTTTGTCATACTAATCATTTGCTATATAGCAAGTTTATCATTATATACTTTATTAATGTGATTTTTGATCTTGCAATTATTGATATGATGCCTTTTTAAAATTTTAGTTTTACAAATTTAAAAATTTTTAATGAAAATTTACATCTTCAGAAAATATATCATATATTTTGAATTTTTAAAAAGATTGATATTATACATTTATATGTTTTATTTTAATGTCTTTATACAAATTTTTTATTGAAATATAATTTATAATGATTATGCATGCATCATTGTTTACAATATGTGAGAATTAGTATGTGAATATGATTTTAATTTTGTAATTTAATGAAAATTTGCAAGATAACAAAAAGAAAATTAAATAAATACAACAGTAGTTAAATATAAGTAATTTATGCAAAAATCATAACAAAATGAAACTAAGAAATTAAGCATAATGTAACAGTTAAAATAGAGGAAATAGATATTTTAATCTTATATTCAATAACTGCTGCAAAAATACATGCATATCTGTTGTAAATGAAAATGTAAATGCAAATATTTGCAAAAGATTGAGCATTTGGATGTGTAAAGATTGAAGTTTTTAAATTGTTTAATTGTTAGATATTGTTTTCTAAATTTTTCAGTTATATTTTTATGATAATTTTATTTTTAATTTGTTTAAATATTCATTGATTGTTAAAAAAGATGTATTTATCAATAATCTTACCAAAACATTTCTTTTATCACTTTTTAAATCCTAAATTTTGGCATTAAATTGTGAGATTCATAAATAAGTTTTGACACATGGCTGTCATTTGGATAATATCAATAATTAAATTTTAAAGCATTCTAAATTTTAAATTATACACAAACAATTTTTAGAATATTATAACAATATAAATTATATTAATTTTTTTTTAAATTAAAAGTTTATTGCATTATCAATTTAATTCATTACAATAAATGTTTTAAGTAGAATCTCATCATTTTGAACTTTTTATAATTTCACTTGTCACTAGGAAGCAAGATTGCATTGCATTATTGCCTAATTTTTCTTAAGTAGGTTAAATTATGCAATGATTAATTTTCAGACAATTCTAAAGAATATAAATGATTATCATTTATACTATTGAAGTCAGTTGCATATATTCAATAACATATTAACTTCACTTAACATATTAATATATTGAATTAATATGAAGTGTTGCTTTTATTATATTATAGCTTAAATATATAGCTGTAGTTACTGATATTAGACATTACTTCAATATACATGACTTATATACATATATAAATTAATAATTAATTCAATAAGTAAGAAATAATATAAAGCAGTGATTGTTTTTGTAACAATCCATTTTGCCCATAATATAATAATCCACATCTAATAATGTTTATAAAATACTGAGTTTTCTTTATACTTAGCAGAGCATCAGATAAGAGAGCAATTCATTTAAGAGAGTACTCCTCCATGTTTCCTATTTATTCCCTTATGTTTACATGTATTGGATTCTCATTAACAGAGCACTAGATAATAGAGCAGTCTATTTAAATGAATGCCATGTTGAAAGATCTTTTTAGAGCAGCAATCCACATAAGAGACCACTATTCTAAGGATGATTTATAAAGATCTATGTTTAATTTTATGATACATTATTGTCCAGGACATACTGCGACATGGCTCTCTATACTATGATATTTGTTGAAATATGCCATATGATTAAAAGAAAACAAGTGGAGGAAGATGATGAGATTGAACTCTTGTTTATGTTGTCATCATTTATTTAAGGTTGTCTAAGTAGAGTGTAAAAATTTTTAAAAATTTTAATCAACTATAATGCATTTTATGAGATCAAGGAGATAACTGAAAAGCAAGCTGCCAGTAATCATATTAAAAAAATACAAACTTCTTTAAATAAATCTGTTTAAATTTACTGCAAAAATTAAGTTATTTATTTTTATACTGTACATCCCATTAGATAACATTTAGAAATGTTGGAGCAATGGTGTTCAGATGTTTTCAGCTAGACCTCATACCATATTTCTGGAAAGAGATGAAAGTAATGAGATTGTCAATATACTATATTTACTGATTATTCAATAAAATGATAAAATTGCTGACATAAGAATGGAAACCAATATGCAACTTACAGTAAAATTATGTGATAATGAATTTTAACATTTTTAAATGTGTTACAAGTTATATTATGCTTGTAAGATGGAGAAATGGAGAAATTTGAATATTATGTCCTGGGTTGTCTTGTTACTTGGATAAGGGAGCATGATGCAACAATTTTGAGAGTGCCATCTTAAGTTGACTTGCCTGTACCAACTAAAAAGAAAATATTCAAGTAAAACATAAATAATGATATTTATATTAAGAATTCTTTTGTTTACATTGGTTGAAAATTAAAAACAAAAAATTTAAATGTTAATTACCATAGAAAATATCCTACTTATGTATTTCCCTCCTCATTTGATTTACTTTTGTATTACGTTATTTAAATTATAAATAGAAAAAGAATTAATTAAATATTATTTTATCTTTTATTTTTACTCATAAACATTATTTAATAACTATTAAGTGTATCATCTAAGATTTATGTAAAAAAATTAAATGTAAAATTTTTAATTTCTTTCATTATTTTCAAAATATTATCATCAAACATAAATGGCAGAATCAAAAATAAACCAAAACAAAACTTTTGATATAACTTTTTATCACATTACTAATACAGAAGACCATTTTCAAAATAAACACCTTCTGTAGTTGAAAGATTATTTTAGTATCTAGTATGTAACTCATTCAGCATTATTTTCCTGGTTGGAATCATTGCAGTACTGTAACCTCTTTTGCTGATTTGTATTCTGCAGCCCTTCAGCAGAAATAACATTTTGGTAAAGATATGAAAGAGAGCAAGGTCTAGTGAGTAAGGAGGCTATGAATGTATAGCACAGATATTTGGTATTTATGCCAGATATTTGCTAATTAGGAGAGACTGATATATTAGGATGTTGTCATGACGTAAACTCAGTTTTTTTGTTTCCAAAGATGAGGCTATTTTCATCTTACTGAGTCATGGAGGCAATCAAGAATATCAATGTAGGATTCCTTGTTAACAGGTCTATCATTGGAATAAACTAGTAATGCATAGGTGTTTCACATCAAAACAGTCTGCAATTAAGTGAAAAGTGTGCTATTACAATTGCACTCAAGGAGGTAATGCCAAATGGACTTGAAGACTGTTTAATAAGTAGTACAAACATTGCATAACTATAACTACAGAAAGTATTTACTTTAAAGGCAGTCTTCTATAATTATAAATTTTACATACATACAAAAACTACATACTGTGGGTGTATATATATCAATAGCAAAAGCCTGTGTAATTGTCTAATTTTGGATATTCTGGAACATTGGATGTCTCTGTATAGAATGCTATGTTAAGCTTTCTCTAAGATTAAGTATACTCTATGTTTAGTTTGGGGATGAATAACTACTGTTCCTGCTATCTTGTGTATAGTTACAATACCCTCTACATAAATGCACACATTTTCATAATTGCATTGTTGTTGTTATATTTTATAATTACTATATTTTACAGTATGTAAATTGTGACTTTTGGACTATGTCTTATGTGCTGTAAAATATGGTTAAAAAAGGGGGAAGCTGAAAAATTGCCCTGCATCTTAGATATGAAGTTTGATCTCCCAAAGGCTAATGAATTTCCCTGTATTTAGGAAAACAGTCTTTAGTAGGTTATTCCACAAGTAACCTTTATCTGGTCAACTCTTGAATTAAAATGTTACTGTTTAATTAAACATACTGTATTATTAGTATTATTATTTGTTATAGCTAAGCAGCTTTTACATGTGTTCATGTAGAAATATTTTGTTAATTATATTTTAATGGCAAATTTTAATTGTAAATGACTTCTTTTAAAATCCTTTTTATTTTTCTTTTCCTGATAAATAAAAGTGTGCATTCTAATTTTACTTTTTTTCTTTTAAACAGAATACAGTAAAAAAAAAAAATTTGGGGCTAAATGCAAAAGGCACAGGATGCCTTAAATTAAATATGTTAGATACTTTTTTTCTGAATATTCTATACTGAAATGGTGTGCTATCCATATGTTTTATTATATGCCTGTGTCTTATATGCCATTAAATATAATATATAATTGATTTCATTTAAAATATGCTTAAAAAGTAGGATGATTCAGGGTAGTGATGAAAAGCCATTCTGGGTTAATATAATCAAAGTATATTTTAAATTATTATAAGGAGTCAGAGTCAGATCTAAAATTCTAGTCAAAGTTGGAATTTGATGCTCAGTTTACCAATTTCACAGTTCTGCTGTAAAGTCACAAAAAGTGTCTTTTGAAAAACATGAAAAATCCATTTTCAATTTTGACATATCTGTCATTGCAAATTTTTTGAAACCACCAAAGACACATATATGCATATTTTGCCTTTAGATCTTTCTACCATTCATTTGCTGTACAATGAATT